ACAGCCCGATCCTGTTCTAAGTCACCGAATTGAACAGTCGGGCAGCTTGGAGGGCACAGGGCCTTGAGCCGGCGCACAGCACGTCCCGCAGGCTCTTCGTCAGCGCGCTAATGCGCTGCTCTGCAGTCCTGGTTGCAGAGCCCTGCGCCAAATAATGCACCGCGGACACGCTGTAGCACAGGTCGAAGACGCCAGCTCGAAACGGCAAAGGTTGAGCAAGATCGCAGCGGAGGCGTTCGCCCGACAAAGGCGAAGGCGAGGATGACACCTGCGACTGCGGACGCTTGACTGTGGCGACATGTGCAGATCTGAACCAGCTCGACATTGAGTTCGTGTCGTTGCTCAGGCTTCACACCTCAGCCTTGGCTTCAAAACAAGAGCAGCGTAATGACCTGCCTCCTCCCACTCCGGAGATCTGAGCATCTCCCAGGACAAGTCAACACCGATGGTTCCCAGGGTGTCGGCTCTTACTCGACAGGCCACCGCAGTTGAAAGTCCGCTACCGCAGCCCAAATCCACCTGCCACGCCAGGTCTCGACTGCAACTACAGCAAAAATTCCACCCTTATGAAGCTCACTTCGACCCGAAGCACAACTGATGGAATTCCCAAGACCTTGCGTCGAATCAGGATCCCGTTACACTTCCAAAATATTGAAAGAAACCTTAAACTTGAACCACACCAACGAGTCAGGGACGCGGCCAGCAGACACTCCTGCCCAGGGCAGAGGGATTCACATCTGCTCATCTCGGAGATGCCTGAACAACTCAAGGACCTGCATGTATTTTTTGCCTGCCTTTCTAAGAGATGCTATGAGTTGTTCTCGTTTCTCACCGAGAATGAGGTGCAGCAACAAGAGGCATCAAGATGCAAGGACGAAGACGTACGTGGATGTATGTATGACCGAGCTTTCTCCTGAACTCCGGGGACCATGGGCCTGCCACCTTTGGCAAATAAGGCTTAACTTGGAGTCATAGTCGTACTTCTGGCTGCACCCAACGACAAATTAGTGCTAAACACTGAAACCCTAAATGCAGAATTCTTCCTGAATTCTGGTCGTCCTTGGTGTGGTCCACAGGCGGCTCTCCCGTGTGAATGGAGCACAGCTGCAACGCACGTCGAGCCAACGTCTCCTGTCATCCACTCCGCTCTGCTCTAGTTTTTCGAGATTCGACGTGATTCCTCGTAGTGCTTAGGAGAAGGAGGTGCTAGCAAGGAGTAGCAGTGGTGGTGATGGTGGTGGCGGTGGTGGTTTGGTTCCGTCAAGCTACTTGAACGATTCTCATCTCTGTACGATCCGTGAAGCTACCGCTGAGTCTCCCTCCCAGTGTCTTCAAACGCTTTCTCCCGTTGCGTGCTCTTGTCTACTTTGTGCTGCCATTTCGGGTCAATCAATGGTTACACAGATGATGATCGTATCGGTGGCAGTCGTGGTGCAAATGGGGCATCTAATTACATTCAAGGATCTATGCAAGCACAGGGGCAGCCCAGCACAAACCGGCTGCTGCAAACGCATCTCCTGCGAGCCGCGATTGTGCTCCGTGTAGCCCGCTGCGCGCCAAGAGTCGTAGTAACCTTCTTCTGGCTATCTACTACTCATCATCATCGATGCCAAGAGAAGCCGTGTTAACCATCGCTCATTCATCATCAAGGACGTCATCTTCATGCTCACTGGCTTCAATGGCTTCATCAGCAATGACATCCTGATCGGCCTGTTCACCAGAATCATCGGCAAATGTACCATCAGGATGGTGATTCCATTGCCGAAGATGAAAGAAATACAAGCCTTGCACACCAGACTTGAGAAGCATGCTCGTCATAGTCATAGTCAACACCCATCGCACCATCGCCAGCATCAGCAACATCATTACATCATCATCATCATAATCAAGATCATCATCATCGTCATGATCATCATCACTATCAGTGATCATGATCATGACCATCATCATGGCCGCAGCACCCGCCCTCTTCATCAGCAGCTACAACAATATATCTTCATTATGTTCATCACGGCTGTCTTCATGGATGTAGCTGTCCATTTCAGGTTGCTGCGGCGCGGCTTTCGCTAAAAGTAGCGTCTGTCTGGCAAAAACATCCAAGCAAACCTCGCCAGAGTGCACACTTGCAAGCAATGCTGTTCAGATGCCGCTCTAATCGCGTCTGCTAGTTTAGTAATTGCTGCCAGCTTTGCGAAACAGAAGCCTGTGGCCTGAGGCAGTCAAGGGGCGATCAGCGTCGAAGTTGCTGCGGTCGGTCTCCTTCCAGGCCTGCAGACCCACTTTGTGACGGTCCAAGCACCGATGCAGTGTATATCTTGACTGATACTTTGGAGCCTTTGGGAATCAGCAAACACAAGGCGAACGGTTGGGCCAGATTGGACATATGATCTCTTCCGTCCAACACCTGTGCTTGAAAGCTTCATGCATGAAACTTTGTCACGCAGTGTAAATATATATTTTCTGGCCTGCAGGGTTTTTCAGGTGTCTAAGGTGTAGTCATACTGTGGTCCGAGAGGGACCCTAGATTCAAATTTAAGTACTTACATAGACCCTTAGAGAACCCTCAAAAACTCATGGTGTTGGCCCAGCGTTCAGATGTACCATGTACTCATGCCGGCCATAAGAAAAGGACATAAGATTGGCTACCATTGTCTCAAGCACGTTGGGTTTGGATCACAGTCACAAGACTCCTTGGTATCAACCTATGGGGGGGAAGCAGCTCAAGCTTCAAATACTTGCTGGGAGTAGAAAAGCTCAAACAAGAAGAACGCATGGCTCTTGGAGCATGACGTGGCATATCGCCACCAGTGATGCTCATGTCGTGTCGCCAGAAATTCGCCAGGGCAGTCGTTGCTCCAATTCTGAGCCCTTTGATTTCCTTCCTTGCCTCGATCTGTTGCCGGAGCTCAGCTTGAGTCCTGGTCGGCCACACGTGAAAGTTCAGACTAGCACTGCATCGTGCTTCCATGTGGCGTCTCGACGAGTTTAGTTTTTGCTCTCATCAAACTTGAACCGTTACTTAGTCGGATCCGAACGTGTGCACTTTGCAGGACAATGTGATGGTGTCTGCAACAGCTAATCAGCTAATATAATACCTGGCGACAGTGGGCCGTTCTCTGCGGTGAAAACAGGTCCATCTAAAGCAGCTTAATGGTGTGCATGATTGCGTCTTAGCCTGTAGTGAGAGCTTGGCGCGGCCATTGCTTCCTCCAGCATCGCCAGGCGACTGCCTGGGACAAGGGAGCTGCCGCAAAAAGAGTCACGACCACCATCGGACGTTCCAGTTAGCAGTTAGCACTGGGGGTTCGATTCTTTCTCAAAGTGCAGTGTAATTCAGCTTGAGGCAAGCACCTCCAAAGCGTGGCTGCTTGCCACGCCGAAGCATTTCCACAACATGCCTGGCAGGATCCGAAGATGCTGTGAGTGCGGGCGAAGGCCACAGTTGAGGTCGAATGCGCAATCGTCCAAGGTCTCGTTAGGCTCTGCAAGCAATCGTGTACCCGTTGGGTTCGTTCCAAAGACTTGGATGGACACACAAGACACCACCAGCAACATCCATGCCACCGCCGTCGTTTTCTTCTTCGCCGTCATCACTACATGCAAAACACCCCGAACCTGTCAATTTGATGCGACAGACCGCGTGACACTGCCTCAGATCAGTGTGCAGGCGAGCCGGGAAAGAACCCAGGTTTCGTTCCTGGCCTCAGAGGTCAAGGTGCAGACACGAACGTGCAGCAAGAATAGCTAACAGCTAACAAATGACCTGTAGCAACAAGACATCGGCTGAAGATCCACAGATACCTAAGTAGGGAAGTAAGCAAGACAGTATTCAGTTGTAACTATTACCTGAGATACCAAGAGGAAGTGCCCATATGTGATGATAACAGGGGCATGCCGGAAGCCATATCGAATTGCCTGAGTCAAATTAAACAAGCTTGTGGAGTTGGCCCAGAGGCTACGGGTTTCAACCAATTCTCTTTATGGTCGTGTAGGATTTAGGGCAAGTGCAAACTATAGCCCGAAGCGATCACTCAAGTCACTAAGTCATCATGTTCGCAGTCGAAAAACTCGACGGAGCTCATTTCATTCAGTGTGTCGACTTCGGACGGCTAACCACCGACCCAAATCTTCGATTGAGTGTTAGCTTACGGCTGGCCTCTGGGACCTCAGGACGATTGGGCCTCAAAGATTTCGGAAGTCTCGGGGCAGTGTCGAGAAAAACTGCCGTTTTTTGCGCACCCTTACTGTTCACCAACACGCAAGTTGATGAACCTGAGCTTTGTCTGACACAGCCAGGCTGTGTGCCAAGTGTACAGTTTCCCGAACCGTCCTGAACCGTTCACAAGAGTTATTACTGATCGGAAACCAACATTATGGACTGCGTACACCGCAGCATAACGCAGCAACGGATTACAAATCAGTAATCATCTTACATCAGATGACAAGTTTGGCATCTACATGTCTCGTTTGAGACAACCGCCACTAACGTGCGCGGCAGCACTCGTAGCTGTCTGCGAACTGCAGACCAGGAAGATGTGGAGGTTCCTGGTAGTAAAATCTGACATAATATAACATAACACAGCATAAGTTAACCAAAATATCATGATATAACATAAAACCATTAACACCATCAACTCTCGGAACCCCGCAATGGACATGAAAATTGGCTGGTTGCACAGCATTGCTGTGCATCCAATGTTGCAGCAAATTCGGATCGCCCCAGGTCCGGTCTGTACAGGCATAGCAAAGCTGTTCGCCATGCATGTCCTTGCGAAGTTAAAAGCTGCAAGAAACACATGGGGTACCTAGAGTCTCCATTGTAGTTCCTTTTTTGGTTTAACCAATTGTATATTAAGGACTTTACAAGGGAATTACAATGAAGACTACAGGTATACTAGGTGTGCGCACCTTGTCTGCACAATCAAGTCGGCCAACTCGGCTGCCCCCAAGCCCGAGCCAGGCGGTCAAGTGCGCAGCTCAAGCTTAAACTACTTTGCCATTCACGAGGTCGTCGTCGAAGCTCTGTGAACGTGCCGAGCAATTCCATTCCTCACTGCCAGGTCGAGAATGAAACGCGACTCTTTTCCAATGCCGAACCCTATACTTTGATGCCATTAGAGGCAACATGTCCCATTCTCCGGAACCTGTCCCCGATATTGACTACGTTTTCACAGGATTCACAGATGTTGGTTCGCTGCTGCCATGTCTCACATGAGCTACGCCACAGACCATGACGATTCTGCCATCGCCTGCGCTGCATGCTTCCCAGGGCTCTGCATCTGCATCTTTATACTTGCGATCCCGCGGATGTGTTTGTTTGTGTGCGGATGGGTGGGACAGTGAGAGATGTTGTGTTGGTTGTGCTTGGTGTGATGGTGTGTGGAGCTGGCTAAACACTTTTGAAGAACATCCAGCCAGACGGCTGGACGTGCGAGGGCGTGTTTGATGCTGATGATATGATGATCCAGCTTCGTGCCACTGCATCAGCTACTTTGAGTTGATAATTGCGCAGGGATCAAGCAGGCCTAGCATTGCCTGCAGGAAGGCCGTCGAACCCTGGACTTGCAAGTTGGTATGGTTCGGGCAGGCATGTCAACATTCCACAACTTCAACCAATGCCGAACATCATGTCGAGTTCATTGCAAATTCTCAAAATTGAAGCGCCCGCGCGGCTCGACATACGACTCTTGGCTAGTGAGCCTTTCTCCTTCACCGTGGTCTTCGCTGCTTCTGCCAATGCCCGGAAGAGCTGCTCGTCACGTGTGGCCGTCAGCAAGAACCTTGCCAGTGCTTTACACACAGACAGGCACATAATTCAAGTCTCTCGTGTTAAATGAGCCAGCTTGAGCTTTCCTGCCGTGCCGACGGCCGGCCGAGGCAGAACAAACTCTATCATCTGAGATGGAAGCCATTACGATCTTCATGTGAACCTCTTGCTTTGGGTGCAGCAGAACTCACCGCAATTCCAATTCCTGGACCCCAAACCTGCTTAGCAGAAAAAGCAGTCGTCGTCGTGTGGTAGTGGGGTTAGTCGTAGCAGTACTGGTTGATAGCGGCAGTAGCAGTAGTAGTAGTAGTAGTAGTAGTAGTAGTAGTCATAGTGACAACAGCAGCAACAGCAGGAGTGGTAGTGGTAGTAGTGGTAGTAGTAGTAGTAGTAGTAGTAGTAGTAGTAGTCGTAGTAGTAGGAGCAGCAGCAGCAGCAGCAGTAGCAGTAGTAACTGCAGTACTACTTCAGTAGCCGGAGGAGTCGCAGGAGGCGGATGAGCAGGAGGAGGACCGGCAGCAGCTGCTTTAACTGCTGACTCTCTGCAGCAAATACGTAAGTACTAGCCACGTCTGCCCCAGAAGCAGCAGCGGCGGCAGCAGCAGCATCTCACGGTTCTCATTCAGATTTATGTTGTTCTTAGTGATATCATCGGCTCCCTCATCATCACCTCCACCATCGCGACATGTCACCGCAGTCACTATCATCCTCATCCTCATCATCATCATCAGCAGTATCATACATCGTCGTCGCCACCATCGTCGTGCCCTTCATATTCGTCATCATTGTCGACACCAAACCCTTCGAGGGACATGAAGATGGCGGCGATCAGCCTTGGCTTCCATCTTATCACGGGATCGACTGGCTGAGGACCTTGTTGAGGGATTCTAACTGTCGATTCGTCACTAAGCGGGAAAGACCCGTATCCTGAGGCTAAAGTATGTTGCCTCGGCACCTGGAGGACATCATTGTCGAGAACGAAGAAAATATTCCGACTTCACAAGGCATCTTGAACTTGAGTCGCCCTACCCGTAGGCCCCATAGTAGTTCCTTTTGGGGATTACCTTATAGGATTCTATATATGAACCCCAAAAAGGAACTACTTTAGGGTCTATGGGTACAGCTTAGACCCTTCAGTCCGCTTCCAGCGCTACTATCCACAGCAAGTCGCGAGTTGGTCATGCCCATCGCCAGGAGGGGAGCAGCGACCTGTCGTATCCAAAGAAGCCCCCCCCCAGTTAGCAATGACCTTGCCCATTTTCAACCGCTAGCACCCTTTTCATCACACCCTACCA